AGAGAGAGAGAGGGGGTTTAACGTCCACTCGACACAAACTAGGTCATTTCGGGACTAACATATGGTTTAATTTTTTATTTTAATAATTCGCTTGCGCGTAGCGGTCTTTAGCAGTGGGAGGAAACCCACGAGGTTGGACAGGCGACCCTACTTCTTCTCACGTACAACCGGGGATTCGAAACCACGTCAGTTGTCTCAATGACACGTGCTAACCATTTGGCCATCCAACCCCCTAGTTGTTGGGATGGGAGTATAAACTGAGGTATATTCGCATGCACAGAAAATAACCGTTGACAATTGGAATTCGAAATGATTGCCCGGGCACGATGTTGCCCATAAAACACAGAATAGCCTATGTCCGTCATCATTATCACAGTCCGTGTAGAAAATATACAGGCCTCAATTCTATGGAATACGGGATCCACGGTGGATAGGTGGTTAAGACGCTGGCTCGCTAGCCTGGGGGTCGGATGTTCGATCCCTGCATTGGCCGAGAAAGTTCATCTGGATTTTCCGACGTGGTTTCCCCTTGTCAGTGGTGCAGAACGGAGGGCCTGACAAGCACAGCTGTCTAGTCCTTCGGATGAAACGAAAAACCGAGGTCCCGTGTATGGATTGAAATGCACGTAAAAGATCCTTTGGCAGTTGGAATTCGATATAAGAGTAGGCGAAAGTGCCGCTACCCGGGCAAAATTTCCCTCTTATCACACTGTATGGCGTATGCCCGTCTTCGTTAGCCCAGTAGTATAGGAGCAGAACAGTAGGACGTTAAACCCCATTTCATTTCATTTCATTTCTATGGAATACAATTACTGCTTATTACTAATCGACGTTTCTACTAGACTTCTCTGGGTAGTCAGCATTAACCAAGGATTGTTTTTTACATGTACATATATTGTCAATTATGCCATTGTTAACAATTTATCCGCGTTGAAAAGTAGGACGTTAAACCACCATTTTATTTCTCCATAAATACCAATCTGAACAAATTTACTTTACAAAAGGTGGGGGGTGTCCGAATAGTTAACGCGTGCGCGTTGTATCATAATAATCTAGTTTGTGTCGAGTGGACGTTACCCCACCCCCTCTCTCTTTTTCTTTCAACCTTCTATCGATGGTATGTTGCTACATTATATCACATATCAGTAGATTTAACTAAAAAAGAAAAAAAAAAAAATCATAACGCAATTCTCTAAAAAGACTGAACTTGATTTCGAGCATGTTAACCTCGATTGTTGATCTTTCAAGTGACATTCATCAAACCTACTTGATAATTTAAAGTCAGTAATGTTAATGAATGAATGAATGACACCGGGGTTTAACGTCCTACTTTTCTGCGCAAACCGGGCTGATGAAGACAGGTATACCCCGTGTAGTTCTCTATAAGGGGAAGTTTACCCTGACATGGATGCTATGTACAGTCTACGGTCTTATTTCGATTTCCAGTTACATACACCGAATCTCTTTGTTTCTTAATAGTACGTGCAGCGGGACAGCATCACACATAAGTACACAACACAAAACGTACATAGTGAATGGATCCGGAGTCTATCAAGTCAGTAATGTTAAGGAATGAATGAATGACACCGGGGTTTAATGTCCATCTTTCCTGCACAACAAAGACAGACACAAAGTGGCATACACTGAACCTTTGTATTTCTTAAAGTGACCACTAGACACACTAGACGAATTTCTTCCAAACTCAATCGATTGAATCAATCTGCGACGAATTGTAGCCGAATTCTCCGCCCAATTCAACAGTCGATTGCATCATTTTTAGCGTCACATGATTAAACATGGCATGTTTTGTTTCCTATGCGTTGGCGTAGAACGAGTTGTGAGATTAGGTCGTGACTGGGCAAAAACCAGAATCCGTTGTCGAGACACACAGGTTTTTGTCTTTAACAATCCGGTTCGAAAATTGACCGAGGAAGACGTTGACGGTTATGAATCATGATGGAAATGAAATGATTAATGAAATGAAAAGGGGTTTAACGTCCTACTGTTCTGTTCTGACTGGGCTAATGAAGACGGGCATACGCCATACAGTGTGCTATGAGGAACAGAAGTTCGGTGTAAGCCACTTTGTGAGTGGGCCTGTCTTTATCTTTGTCTTCATTAGCCAGGGTTGTGCAGGGAAGTTGGACGTTAAACCCCCTTTTCATTCATTCATTAGCATTACTGACTTAATAGACTCCGGATCCATTCATATGTACGTTTTGTGTTGTGTTATTATGTGTGGTGCTGTCCCCCTGCACTTACTATTAAGAAACAAAGAGATTCGGTGTATGCAACTAGAAATCGAAATAACACCGTAGACTGTACATAGCATCCATGTCAGGGTAAAATTTCCCTCATAGAGGACTACACGGGGTATACCTGTCTTCATTAGACGGGTAATGGTTAACATGTGCGCTGTATCATAAGGCCGGTCATTGAGTAAAATCGCTTGGATTCAATTCCCCGATTATACGTGAAAAGGAGTAGGGTCACCTGTCCAACCCCGTGGATTTCTCCGGGTCCTCCAGCTGCTAAAGACCCCTACGCGCAAGCGAAGAATTGAACTAAAAATGAACCATTATGATAGTCCTGAAATGTCCAGTTTGTGTCGAGTGGACGTTACCCCCCCCCCCCCTCTCTCTCTCTCTCTCTCTCTCTCAATAGTCTAGGTTGTGCAGAAAAGTAGGACGTTAAACCCCGGTGTCATTCATTCATTCATTACCATTACTGACTTCAGATTATCAAGTAGGTTTGATGAATGTCACTTGAGGTTAACATGCCCGAAATCAAGTTCAGTTTTAATTGCTTTATGATTTTTTTTGTTAATTAAAACTTATGTCTACTTAAAACTTATAACTAAAACTTATATCATATAATGTAACGTTTATACATGTATATATGGTTGAGAGAGAAAGAGAGAGAGAGAGAGAGAGAGAGAGAGTTTAACGTCCACTCGACACAAACTAAGTCATATTATCATTTCGGGACTAACATATGGTTCAGTTTTATTTTAATAATTCGGTTGAACAAGCGACCATACTCCTTGTCATGCACGTACAACCGGGAATCAAAACCACGCCTGTTAGCTTAGTGACAGACCTTATGATACAACGTACACGCGCTAATCATTCGACCATCCAACCCCCTCCCCCTCATATAATGTTAAACTTTGAACATTAAGGTTGAATATTTTATTGACTACATTTAAACAAATGAAATGAAATGGGGTTTAACGTCCTACTGTTCTGCTCCTAACCTGGGCTAATGAAGACGGGCGTACGCCATACAGTATGCTATGAGGAAAATTTTGCCCGGACAGCGGCACTACGGCCTACTCTTATATCGAATTCCAACTGCCAAGGAATCTTTTACGTGCACGCCAATGTATACACAGGACCTCGGTTTTCCTTCCCATCCGAACGACTAGACAGCTGTTCTTATCAGGCCCTCTGTCCTGCATCACTGACAAGGGAGAACCACGCCGGAAAATCTGGATGAACGTTCTCGGCCAATGCAGGCTGCGTCTTACCCACTTAGCCACAGTGACCCCCAACTTTAAACAAACGGTAGACTAACACAAATTAAGGTCAAGAGCATTTCCTTTCATTTTTTTATCGTTATCGGTATTTAAACGATAGAAAACTATTAAAGTCAAGAATGTTATTTTAATATATAATTCCGCTGTATGTACCAAATGAAATGAAATGAAATGATGTTTAGCGTCCTACTGTTCATCTCCGACTGGGCTAGTAAAGACGGGCATACAGTGTGCTATGAAGGAAACGCTGCCCAGACAGCGGCGCTACGATCTACTCTTATATGGAATGCCAACTACCAAGGAATCTTTTACGTGCACGCCAATGTATACACAAGTCCTCGGTTTTCCTTCCCATCCGAACGGCTAGACAGCTGTCCTGTCAGGCCCTCCATCCTGTACCATTGACAAGGGGTTTAATGTCGACTCGACACAAACCAGGTCATTTTGGGACTAACATGGTTCAATAATTCGCTTGCTCTTAGGTGTCTTTAGCAGTAGGAGGAGACCGGAGGACCCGGAGAAAACCCACGAGGCTGGACAGGCGACCCTACTCCTTGCCACGTACAACCGGGGGGGAATCGAAACCAGTTGACTCAATGACAGACCTTATGATACAGCGCTAACCATTCGCCCCCCCCCCCCCCCCCAGTTGTGTCTAGTCGTTCAGAAGGGACGAAAAGCCGGGTCTCTACTTTATACACGTTAGCATGCATGTAAACGATACCTTGGATTTCGGGTTAGCGCTATTTAGGCAAAATTTGCCTACCTCGCATTGAAGTGGTAATTATTTTATGCGGTGTACAGAAGAGTTTGCTTACTTTTTCCGAAACACCATGATAAAGTTCATGATAACACATATGGTCCGTGATAACACATAGGCCTGCATTGGGTAAAAACAGAAGAAACACAAGCATTTCCGTGACGACGACCTTGTTATTTTATTATGTCAACATTTTGAATCAGATGTCATCATTCGGACGCTAGAAAAGTTACATGCTTTAGAACAAGAACTTGCCCCATGTTACACCATCTATGGTAGAAAGCGCATACTAAACTTACGCTCTCTGTATACGGACACTAAGCTAGTTGACCGACATTTTAAAATAAATATTTCGAGGATTTTAAGAAGTATATATTCTGCTTCCATTTAATAAATTGAAAAGGTTAAATTAAGACCGCATGACAAAACAGTATACTAATATTGTTAAAAATGGCGGCCATTTAGGGCAGAGATCTATTCTCGAATGGTAGAAAGTGTTCAACCCAACGACAATTTGGGGACAAGTTAGAGCCAGTCAAATCGACGAAAATTAACATTAGAGCCAATAGGGAAATCAATAGTCTACTGTGGCCACTCGAATTGAACAAGACTCCACGAGTTATCTCCCATAATTAATCTACTAAAATTATTTTAACAGCAACCCGTAATCGAGACTAGAAATGAAAGGGAGATAACTGTACGATCAAAACAAAGGAAAATAAAACATTACAAATGATTGCGAGTTGCAATCTTCTGGAGGATTCTAGGATTGTAGAATACTTATATTATAATATTTAGAGCTGATGAAACATTGGAGATTTGAATAAAAAGGGCGACAGGTACTGTTGAAGGCAGAGTTGGCTGAAAAACACCAGACTGTTTTTCTGGTTTCGTTTAGACGCCATTGTCAAGGACAACAATTGGAGCTGTACTCGATATTAAGGTAAGTCAAATAACTTATACGATATTAGATATAGGAGGAATACAGCCATATAAACAGCTAAAATGTGGTACATATATGTATAAAAAATACAGTATAGGCAGGGGCGCACAACAGGGTGCATAGGCAAATTGGGCCGATTTTTTTTTTCGGAGTGGGCCGTGTTTTTTTCTGGGAAAATGTACTCTATTACCCAAGTCTCGTAAATATTTAATCAAACTAAAATGAGGCAAACAAATCAATATTCAACTGAGTCATTTAAAAATAACATAATGTTATACTTACTACTTTTCACCCTAACAGGGGTGGATTTTCTAATACTGAGTGGGCCGATTTTTTGAAGGCGCACGCCCACCCCAACCCGAGGAAAATATGTTTGTGCGCCCCTGAATATAGGTCTGATACGGTTGTGTGAGAGAGAGAGAGGGAGAGAGAGAGAGAGAGGGGGTTAACATCCACTCGACAGAAACTAGGTCATTTCGGGACTAACACACGGTTCAACTTTATTTCAATAATTCGCGTAGAGGGGTCTTCAGCAGTGAGAAGAAACCGGAGGACCCGGAGGAAACCCACGAGGTTGGACATACAGGCGACCCTACTCCTTGTCACGTACAACCGGTTAATCGAAACCACGCCAGTTAACTCAATGACAGACCTTATGATACAGCGCACGTGCTAACCATTCGGCCATTCAACACCCCTCGAGAAAGTTGAAGTTCCCTGAGAATTTCCAGCGTGGTTTCCCCTTATCAGTGTTGCAGGAAGCAGGGCCTGGCAAGGAACTGTTCTAGTCGCTCGGATGGGACGAAAACCTGAGATCCCGTGCACACGTTGGCGTGAATATTGAAAGTTGGAATTCGATATAAGAGTAGGTCATAGCGCCACTGTTGAGTAGACCCGTAGCTGAGATACCCTTTTCAAGTATTGAAGGTTTGGTGTTGTGCTCGGGGTTGTGTTGTGTATGGTGAGATATATTGGGGTTACGAATACTGAGATACAAGTATATTGAGGGTGGGTTACGAATACTGAGATACAAGTATATTGAGGGTTGAGTGTTGTGCTCGGGATTGTGTATGCTGAGATATATTGAAGGATGGGTGTGGTGCTCAGGGTTGAGTATGCTTACATTTCTACTAATTTTAGAACACCTTCTATTATTTCTCAGTTATATGAAGAGTTGAAATATCTTCTAACGTGGGTTTTGAATATTATTTTTTATTTTTATTTTATTTTTTTGAAGATGTCTGTTAAAGAGATAAAATTAGAGAAGTATATCAAGGAGGTGAGTAGATTGTAAACATCCGGGGCCTGTTTCACCTAATTTTAGTAATTTGATTGGATAATATTAGATTGATTTTAGTGCTTAGCCAATCAAAATTGACTTATCTACTAAAATTTGGATTTTTATCTTAAGTTAAAATTTCATTAAACAGGCCCCGGGTCTCTTATGGTCAGCGCTCTTTTAGTTATCAAGCACCTGTTTTATGGAATAATCTACCATTTAGTTTAAGATGTTGTACATCTCTATATTCTTTTAAAAAACAACTTAAAACACATTTATTTAATCAGGTTTTTAACTGACTCTGTATACAATCGTTAACATGTCCATAATCTTGTTGTTTATGTATGATTTACATTGTCACTTTGTAAAGTTCCCCTGAACATGTTATATGAAAGGGTGCACTATAAATATGCTGTAATAATAATAATAACATTGTACGGGCGCCATGTTGACAACAAATATCACCAGATTCTAGACAGTGTGACAAATCTTATTCATCTTTTATCATTATTTTGTTCCGGTTTTTAACTCCACTCGGTTTTGGTCTAATGACGCCATTTGTCTTGCCGCTTCTGTCTAATGTGCGATAAATTGAGCTAGATTGTTTATGCAGTCGGTCTGTTGTCTGGCCGGCTAGTGAGGTCATAGCCATGCAAGATATTATTCTCTCGGGAATTCCGATAATCTCACGTTTAACCCTATACACTAGCACCGGCCCTAACTATTGAATGAAATTGAAGAGTCCAGGGGAAGAACGATATAAGTCACATTTTTGTCTTTACGCATAAAACGCAAAACAATTTTTGGACGGGAATGTTTGACTCGAACAGAACAACGAGTGGGTTTAATTACAACTTCAAAATGATGTTTAATACGAATCGTTTTTACCTGAAATTGATTGTTCCAAAGAAAGCTTATTCAATTTGCTACCAGATGGCGCCAGTAAATGACTTCGATCGTTCTTCCCGGGGCTCTTCAATTGTATTTCCCTTTTCTGCTCCCACCGAGATAATGGAGACGGTGTGCTATGGGGGAAATGTTGTGTAGACATCAATTGAATTCTAGTTGTAAAGGGTTCCTTTACGTACATGGCAAGGTATACACGGGACCTCGGTTTGTCGTCCCATCCTAACGACTAGACGCTGTTGATTGTCAGAGAGAGAGAGATGGGGTTTAACGTCCACTCGACACAAACTAGGTCATTTCGGGACTAACATATTGGTTTAATTTTATTTCCATAGTTCGCTTGCGCGTAGGGGTCTTTAGCAGTGGGAGGAAACCGGAGGACCCGGAGAAAACCCACGAGGTTGGACAGGCGACCCTACTCTTTGTCACGTACAACTGGGGAATCGAAACCACACCAGTTGACTCAATGACAGACTTTATGATACAGCGCGCACGTGCTAACCATTCAGCCATCCACCCCCCTTGATGTACAGACCCTCCATCTGGGGGAAAGCACCCTGGAAAAACCCGGGGAAGTTCCTCGGCCAACACCGTGATCAAAACCCGGACCTCCTGGTTAAGGAGCCAGCGCCACCTACTGAGACACCATTACTAGGGAATGAAGCACTCGGCAAACCTCGGCATATTCCGGTACCGTACATCTAACCTCGGCTGTATGACGGTCATTGATATGTACCTACGCCTATACAATTGCGATGCGGCACCGGTTTACTTATTAGGAAAACTTGCCGCCTTTAGAAAGAAGTTCTCACAATTGCGTCGTTCCAAGAGAATGTAGAATTTTCAGTGCAAACCCGTCCTTGTCTAAAGAAAATCGGATAAACTAGTTCCAATGGCGAACTTCGTCATACAGCCGAGGTTAAATGTAGGGTACTGGAATCTGCTGAGGTTTGTCGAGTGGGGAATGAAGGACACCACCAAAACGAAGTTAGAAAGCATTCACTGGAATTTATTTAATGAGCCGACATGACTACGTCGCTGTAATTATAGAATATGTTTCAGGTGTTTGAAGAAGAGATGAATCGTGATGATCGGTTTCTGGAAGTTGATGATTTGAAGATATTAATAAGGGGAGATAAGTCTGATGATACTGTAAGAAGATCTATAATTGGTTACCCTAGTTACCCATTATATCGTGATATAGCTGGAATGTTACAGATCTGGATGAACACTAGGTGAATATATTTAACACGATATTTGCTAGGAAATGTGACAGGAAATTCAATGATGTTTAACGTCCTACTTTTCTGGACGATCCGCGTTAGTGAAGACTGTCGTACGCTATTCACCATATGTGTCAAAAGTTCTTAACTTCTTGTAAGTGCACACCAACGTGTACACGTGATCTGGGATTTTTGTCCAATCCTAACGACTAGACTAGACTCTGTTTTGTCAGGTCTTGCGTCCAGCACAACTGATAATTAAACGTCGCCGATCCCTATCGTGGGTTAATCGGACAATCAAGTTTTCAAAACATGCCAAAATGCACTCAAGTCAATTATGGTGAAATTCAAAGTATCAGCTGTAAATAATCGTCCGCCTTTGATTCAGTCGGCTTGACCATATTGTCTGCAGAGGAACCCGAATGTTACAGATTCAAAAGGGATTGAAATGACGAATGGGAAGCTTTGATTTCCTAGTAAAACCATGGCATTTGGTATAATGAAGAAAGACATATTTTTAGACATTTTGTAAATTTTGTACTTTCAGATCGTGTCCTGTTTTAGATTTGCCTAATTATGATTTACTAGATGAACAGTCGTATGTACAATACAGGTATATAGAGTTACTTCCCTTTTAACACCAACATCACAGGTGTATAAAAGTAAAAATAAACCAAATTTAAACATACATTATGCAAATACTCGGTTCATAATGGATCAGTTTGACTGAAATTGTCAGCAAATTGACTTTACATTAACTAGTTTTTAACTAATATAGTGAGAACTACCAGCCCTTTATCTAATTTCACACAATGTATCTTTAAATCTATTCTGCAGCATTTTAAATTTCGTGTAAAGTTATAGGTACAGCGAGTTGCTTCCCTTTAAAACTCCACATCACGTGCATAAAAGTAAAAATAAGAATTATTTTCCCATTTCAACCGTCAATTTTGGATTTCCTTCAATAAATAGAAATTACCTGTAAAAATAATGCAGAGGAAAATAGATTATGAATTATAAGTATTATTACTATTATTTATAGGAGTGCTGTTATTTTGTCTATAACACCATTGCTGGATGGTCTGAAGACATTGTGGTCTATATGGGTTGATGGAGAAATTAAATTTAGACTGCGACAGATATTGATGGTAAGAATCACAGTACTACTTATTCCTCGACACAAACTCAAGGTTTTCTGGGTTCTAGACTTATTCATAAAATGACGTCAGACAGGTAGCTACGTCACAGCGTTTTTATAACTTGGGCGATGCTGGTTGGGGAAGTTCGGGTGTTTCCTGGGTCCAAAATGGCTACTTTATATAAATAATTTTTTGGGGAATTATTAGGCCTAACCTTAACTATTTTTTTAGAAACTGAACTGGGATCCAATTTACCCCTCTTAAAAGGGTTGGGGTTCGGGTTAGTATTCGGCCATTTTGCACCCGAACCTCCCCAACCGGCCTACAATTAGAAAACTAACTTCTAACTTCAGTATATAGAGATAGGTTCTTTGAAACGATCTTGGCAGGAAGACTTATTAGAGGGATACCCTAACCCCCGTCTATAATTAGTAACGTGACGTCAAAAGGAGTCATAGATATATGTGTATATATTTGTTAGTGGTTGAGTAAAAGAGCTATAATGACGTCATATATTTATGTGTATAGATTAATATATTTGATATCTGTTGAGTAAAAAAGGTATAATGACGTCATAGATTTGTGTGTATATGTTGTTGGGTAAAAGAGTTATAATGACGTTATCGATTTATATATGTGTATATATTTGTATATTTGTTAGTTATTGGGTAAAAGGGGCATAATGGATCTATTGGGGATCAGAAAAACGGTTGGAACAAAAGAAATATTACCACCACCACGTTCCGTATTAATGGAGTCTTTCAAAGAAAAATGCTCGTAAGTACAACCCTTTTATCTAACATTTAACGATGCCATTGGCTTGCCTATATCGTCCGCGGAGGATACCAAATTATGTTATGTTAAATGAAATGAAATGGGGTTTAACGTCCTACTCTTCTGCACCGACTGGGCTAATGAAGACGGGCATACTTCATACAGTGTTCTATGAGGGAAATTTTGCCCGAACAGTGTCGCTACGGCTTATTCTTATATCGAATCCCAACTGCCAATGGATCTTTTACGTGCACGCCAATATGTACACGGGAACTCGGTTTTTAGTCCCATCCGAACGACTAGACAGTTGTCATCAAATTATGTTAAAACATGTTCAGTTTATCATATCTTTGTAAATACTGAATATAAACCGACATTTAAAAAAGTATTGGCGGCTATAGCAAAAATAAATCTTTGTCGTTTTATAACAGAATGAAATCTGGATATGACCCGATTTCGCGATGAGAGATAGAGATAGTATATTGGTTGGCTTGATCGTCATTTTTTCCATTTCAGCGAGAAATCACAGCTTTGGGTAGGATCGAGGGCGCTGGCGAAACATTACCATAGAGACGAGGGACATTCATGGTGGGGTAACTCGACAGGCAGTACGTTTTTTCAACATTCATGTTTTACCCAACCAACAAAATTACGTTGCGATAACGTTGTCACAATGTAGGTCGGTTAAGTCCGAAAGCTTTAAATCAACAAATTATCTCGATCATGTAACGATGCGATTACCCATGAATCCATACTGATACTACCCATCCATCATGTCACGATTACTCATTCGTCACGTCACGATTACCCATCTATCAGGATACGATTACCCATCCATCGGGATACGATTACCCAACCACCAGGTTACAATTACCCATCTATCGTGATACGACTACCCATCCATCATGATACGATTACCCATCTCCCATGATACTATTATCCACACATCATGTCACGATTACCCATTCGTCACGTCCCATCATGTCACGATTACCCATTCGTCACGTCACCATTACCCACCCATCATGGTACGATTACCCATACATCATGTTGCAATTAACCATTCGTCACGTCACGATTACCCATCCATCATGATACGATTACACATCCCCATGATACGATTACTCATTCCCCATGATACGATTACCCATCCATCATGATACGATTACCAATACACCATGTTACGATTACCCATCCACCATGATACCATTACCCATCTATCATATCTTTGATGCGTTGTCCCAAGTACAAGATCGAACAACTTGAATTTGAATGATAAAATACATTTTTAAAAAATTAATTTGTTTTAAAATAGATAAAATAATTTATATCAATATATATTCTGTATTTTCAGCTGAGTCGGAAAAGAATGCTTACGCTTTGAGCATCGTAAATAGAATTCTAGATGGCGCCACATGGATTAATATACATTGGTTACCGGTAAGTAAATCACCTATCGCAGCTTCATATAATTAAAATGGCAGTTTATGTATAAAAATGTTTTTCTTTCTAAAATTCTGTGTTTGTAACGAAAGCTACTCACTGTTTATAGTTTTTTACTAGTATTATTAGTGGTGAGGGCGGGGCGAATAGTCTAACGCATGCGATTTAGATCTTAAGATCTGCCCTTTACTCTCGATCTCGATGCTTTTGTAATCAAATGCTTACTTATTTACAAGAAAACTTTGTTGTCTACATTTCTGGAAGGATGTGTTTGTGATAGAAGTTTATAAAAATGTTATTGTGTATACCACGTGTTTGTAATATAAGTTAATGTTTAAACCACGTGTTTGTAATATTAGTTATTATTTAAACCACGTGTTTGCCATATAAGTTACTGTTTATTCCACGTGTTTGTAATATAAATTATTGTTTATACCACGTGTTTGTAATATAAGTTGTTGTTTATACCATGTGTTTGTAATACAAGTTATTGTTTATACCATGTTTCAGCACGATGTGTTTGTAATCGAGGCAAGAGAGGAGAAGGGCTATGGGGCCAGATGGACAGCTGATGGCACAAGTTTTAGGGGTTTTCTCGAACCCCAGATGGTGGACGGGCATGAAGTAGGATGGCGCCACTGAATAGTTTGGATTTCACCTTAATTGACAGACAGTTGGTTATACAAGCACCTATAATAAAGATTCAACATGCGTTTTTGCTCACCCGACATTGATAGTTGCTCAATTCACATAATCACGAACTTTAAAGCGAACGATGTAATTTTCATTTTTCGTCTACCAATGTCTAATTTGTCACTGATAAGTGTACGGTAACATGCAAAAAATAAACAAAAAATACAGCATAATAACTGTAGATAATTTCACAACTTGTATTCGATCGGTTTTAAACAAAAATATCAACATTTTTTATCCTGTGTTATTTTTATTGTCTGAAGAATGCTGAATGTTGACAGATTTTCAATTCATATCTTTGTAAATACTGGATCCAAGTTCACAAAACATTTTCAGACTCAAGTTAAAATTGTTCCCCTTATCTTAACTAAAATATAGTCCTTTATAAAACTGGATCAAAGTTCACAAAGCATTCTTAGACTTAAGATAAGAATTTTCTCAAAATTGGTCGCCTTATTTTAACTAAAATATAGCCCTTTATAAAACTTTTGTTGTTTTAATGTATCAAATACATCAATAAGAAACTATGTGCAAAGTTTTGTGTTTCTGGATCAAGGATATTTCTCATTAACAGTGATTGAAAGTTGAGTAAATTCTTAACTTAAGTCTGAGATTGCTTTGTGAACTCATTAAGGCCTGAACGGAATTGAGCCATTTTTAGACTAATATTTCTATTAGAGATTCAACTTTCACAATATTGTATTCGAAATCACTCAAATGATATCATCGGCCATGGTGTATAATGGTTTTGACACCGCCATAAGACTTTCTTACACGCACTGTAGTCTTATTAACATTGGGGGGTTTGGATGGCTGAATGGTTAGCACGTGCGCGCTGTATCATAAGGTCTGTCTTTGAGTCAACTGGCGTGGTTTCGATTCCCCGGTTGTACATGACAAGGAGTAGAGTCGCCTGTCCAACCTCGTGGGTTTTCTCCGGGTCCCCCGGTTTCCTCCCACTGAAAAAGACCTATGGAAATAAATTGAACCACGTGTTAGTCCAAAAATGACCTAGTTTGTGTCGAGTGGACGTTAAACCTCATTTTGCTCTCTCTTATTAACATTGGTCATCCTCCTTAGCTCTGCTTAATTGTATTTAAAACACACTGTCATCTTCCTCATGTCATGAATTGGGTGGGGGGTGGGGGATCTTATAAGTAAAATACTCTAGGTCAGGGGGGTGTCAAACTCATTTTGATTCAGGGGCCACATCAACTAAACTTTTACATCAAGTTGGCCGGAGATATACAAAAATTCTAAAAACAAAGTCAAACGTCCGCGACAGGCTTCCAAATTACTGAACACAACGTTCTCTTGTATTACATACAACTTAGATATCTATGATATACAGTACAGAAGTCAGAGTTTTACTGGTAAATGATTTCCACCGCTAGTCTGTAAGAATTATCGACAGGTCAGTTGTTGAAATTTGTTCCACGGGCCACATTTGAACCCAGTTGTAACGATAGGTCGCGTCAGAGGTCATACGAGCGGCTTTTGGCGCTATGATGTCAGACATTTGATTAACCAATCATCATTGATGTTACTAGTGGATTACCCACAGTTCCGTGCAAAACACGCCGAATGCTCGCCGTAACAGACCGTTTCATTGGCTAATAGCTTACATCATCCAGAACACGTCAATGATAACAACTCTTCCAGATCCCAGTGTAGTAAAGACAAGTAAAACGAAATTTTGAACTATTAAAACGAAACGAAATAGGATCTGTGTTTTAATCAGATTGGATGCCCGCGGGCCGCATATTTGACACCCCTGGCCTAGGTCCTCTCTGCTTCATAAACCGGCACGGGGGAAAACAACACAACACATGTTTTAATATTTATAATTTATTTATGGAACATCTATAATAAAAGACGTCTGGAAGAAAGAGACAAGATTATGAAATAATATCCAATCTTAATCAAAGGGTGAATTTGTACACTGCAGTGGTTTGTGCGGAGAAATATCATATATTACACAGTGAGCCATTGTATTAAAATATATTTCTTTTCTTGAAACCACTCGACGAAATATTGCTGAAAAATATGGATATAGGAAAGGATAACTCTCGTCGTTACAGTGTGCGCGGGAGATTACAATTAAACGCATGACGTCACATCCGGGTTTTACGTAATTTAAATCTCATAAAAAAAAAACAAAAAAAAGATCATTGCATATGGAATAGAATCACTGATTGTTAGATATATAGCACAACGTTTCGACACGAATTCCTTTACCGGTTTCAAGCACATGTATATATACCAAAACCAGTGATTGTTTTCCATGTAAATGGTCTATGTATTTTGTTGTGCTCAATCGCTAAATGCCACTCCATAGTTATGATAAATAAAATATTAAAAAATGCAAATAGTGGAGTTTTCCTTTAAGATGAATTATGTATTATCCGTTTGTTTAACAGTATACATAGTGTGAACCAAAGCGGGTGACCAGAATGTAAGCGATGCAACCTGTCGAGTTTTCCTTTAAGATAAAAAAAAATATACATAGCGCGAACCACAGCGGGTGACCAGAATGTAAACCATGCAACTAGTGGAGTTCCCCTTTAAGATAAAAATAAAAATATACATGACAAGAATGTTAATAGGTAAATACAGACAAATTAAATACACACGTGTACATGATTCCAAATTATGTATGCTGACACTTTAAAAACCCTGTCCAACTAGAGGCTAACATCAATTATGCCACGTTGTCTTCCAACTAATAAGTGAGAGAGAGAGAGAGAGAGAGCGAGAGAGAGAGAGTATGTATGCGTAGTCTTCCACTAGATGACATGGTTTATAGAACTGATACGGTTATTAAGTAGAACTTCTAAATACATGAATAATAATATTACAAATTACATACGTATTATATGGATATGAACCAGTTGGTTTGCCGAACGGCAGCACTGTCTTCGGATATCATTTATAAGAGTCAATTAGAAAAAAAAAAAAAAACACAATTTATATTCGTCGAAATAAAATTTAGCCCAATAAGCCTGGAAATACATAAATTAAGAAAAAGCTCAAAATATTTACCCTTAAATTAACAAAAAAAATCCCAAACAATTAAAGCTATTTACATGTATAGGTAATTTCTTACGAATACAAAATAGTCCTCGAAATTCGCAGCGGGTTTATCTCTTCAAAATAATGTCACGTATGTACACCATTCGGCAAACGTCGGCAGATTCCGGTAACCTACATCTAACCTCGGCTGTATGACGGTAAGTGATATGTACCTACGCCTATACAATTGCGATGCGGCACCGCTTTACTTTTTAAATAAACTTGTCGCTTTCACAAAGAAGTTCTAACAATTGCTTTGTTCGAAGAGTGTATAGAATTTTTTAGTGCAAACTTGTCCATGTCTAAAGAAAATCGGATAAACAGCTTCAGACTTTGAAATCTTTGTAAGATAAAGCATTCTTCAAAGTCGTCGTCATGGGCAACGCCGTTGATAATCCGGGAACTTGAAAGTAGTTCCCATGGCGGACCTCGTCATACAGCCGAGGTTAGATGTAGGGTACTGGAGTCTGTCGAGGTTTGCCGAGTGGTATGTACACGCATCAAGGATTGGTCACACACTGGACTAAACAAAAACAAAAAATCCAAACTTGTTCCATGTTTTTGTCTGTACCAATGTTGCAACACCGATTGTATTTATTCCACTTTGTAAGGTCAAAATAAAACTCACACCAATAAAAAGGGAAATGAGTTTGAGTGCCTAATCACAACGAAATATTTGAGCTCAATATGAATACATACAATAACAACCAAGCCCACAAACAAGGCCACGTGACATTTTGAGCACTTCGTAAATTGACCAAGGGAGGTAATCAGAGGAAAATGGTCGATCGTCTCCCTTTGATAACAATAACCAAAAATGACATTTATCATATTGTTATACACTGAAAACCAAAGAATGTCAACTATGACATCTTTACAAAATCACTACACAGTAAAGTTAGTTTATAACGTTTCTCTGAGGCAATAGGCTCATTATGACGTTATATAAATATACCAATAGCGTCTGCCACGTTTCTTTGGCCAGTAAACTTGATCTGACGTTATATGCCTATAATCTTAAACAGAAGTCTAATTGTAATGTTCGAGCATAACGTGGACGTTTCTATGACGTAGTAGATTAATTTTAATGCTATATAGCATACCTTTAATTGATCGGATTAAAATACAGAACTATATTTCGTTTCGTTTTTTTATACTTTCGATGGCCTACACCACACCTCACTCCAAAAAACTCGTCGTAACAGACCGTTTCATTGGCTAATCCCCCACATCACCCAGCACGCGGGTTTATATAACTACTTTTCCAGATCCTAGTGTAGTAAAAACAAGTAAAACGAAATTTTGAACTATAAAAAACGAAACGAAATAGGATCTGTGTTTTAACCAGATTATCCTTTAGTTTACCGTTCCTATGGATTTATATACCTATAACGTTAACGTTCCTATGGGTTTATATACCTATAACGTTAAAGTTCATATGGGTTTATATACCTATAACGTTAACGTTCATATCTAACAGTAGATTAATTTTAATGTTGTATAGCGTAACGTTTCTATGGGGTAGCCCGTCTCCATTAGGCCAGTCGGGGCAAAACAGTAGGACGTTAAACCCTATTTCATTTTATTTCTATGCGGCAGTTCTACAGCGTGAACGTTAACGTTTCTATGGAAAAATGAAATGAAATGGGGTTTAACGTCCTATTGTTCTGCTCCGAACTGGGCTAATGAAGACGGGCATATGCCATACAGTGTGCTATGAGGGAAATTTTGCTCGGACAGCGGCACTGTGGCCTACTCTTATATCGAATTCCAACTGTCGAGGGATCTTTTACGTGCACGCCAATGTGTACACGGGAGCTCGTTTTTTCGTCCCATCCGACCTACTAGACAGCTCTCTTCTATGGGGTAGTAGACTAATTCTAATATTATATAAAGGACGGGTATGAAATCTGGGAAACTATTGCCTGCAAATTCTAATTTTTTCGAGATTGACTATCAAGACAAGGAAATGTGTCTTAGAAATAAATCAATAATTCAATGAACACTTGTGACCTGGCTGACTCAACTTGACTCTATGTTATATAACACGCATGTCTGATAAAGGAAGTGACATCACCGCCAAATTAAACGTACCAGTACCCCGCCAACCAATATTATATTATTTATAATTCCATAAATATTCAATACGATGAGATAAACAAATATACAATATGTATATATAATCAAATGTAAGAAAATTTCCACCCGAAATTCGGGAAATAGCAAATATTTTATAATAATAAATATCAGATATATTAAAATTAATGTAACAGGAAATAGCTCCAAAGAAACGGAGTT